TAAGCTGAGGAGTTTAGAACTTAGGCAAATGGTGGATATAAAACTGCAACTACTTGGCAAGTCACAAGACCTATCTGGGATTTCCTGATTTCCTCATTTATAAAATGAGGGTGGAGTAGATGATCATCAAGTCTCCTTCTATGGATTAATTGAGGCACTTAAATTCTGCACATACCCACGACCTGCAGATGCTCCTCAACAAGCTCCTTCTTTAATGGAACAAAAATTCTACTGGCTGATGCCGAGAGTGCCTACTCCATGTTCAAACTCTAACTGCACCCCACAGTCCTCTCCAACTCATCTCAGATCAGTTATCTGGAAGCAAGTTAAGCCAGGAATGGCAAGAGGTGAGCTTAGTTTGAGGAAAGGTGAATTTGAGATAATGCAAGGTCTGACATTACATTAGCCTTAAATAGAAACCCACCCAGATGGCAATAGCACCTAGGCATGGTGTAAAACAAAAGAATATCCAGAAGGAACGCAGGGCTGTATGTTTGTGAGAATGTGGAACAAGACTCCTAACTTTGGTTTGCAGAATCCTAAATTAAAAGATGTCCTGGTGCATTTATTTTGAGCAGATGGTAGTCTTTTCAGTATCAGCGTCTAATTCTAAATTAAATTTGGGGTATTGGTGGAGAATGGAGAAGAATGTCAAATGAGGTTTTTCAGCCTCACCTTGTCTCCCACCTTGGGCAACCCCTCTGGCCAGCTCTCTTTCTAGCCACCTTAAGAGGCCTCCGGAAGGTGCGATTTTCTCATCACTGTATGACAGGAAACCCCAGCCCCTATCATGCTGGTAACTTCAGAAACCCTTAGAAATCCTACATAAAATCAACTCCTCTTTTATTTATTTATTTTTTAAGATTTTATTTATTTATTTGACAGAGAGAGACACAGCGAGAGAGGGAACACAAGCAGGGGGAGTGGGAGAGGGAGAAGCAGGCTTCCCGCAGAGGGGAGAGCCCGATGCGGGGCTCGATCCCAGGACCCTGGGATCATGACCTGAGCCGAAGGCAGACACTTAACGACTGAGCCACCCAGGCGCCCCACAACTCCTCTTTTAAATGTTCAGCCCAACTTGATCCTAAATGTAAGTTGCTTTATTTTGCTCTCCTAGAGCTTGAAGTTGGGGTGGGGGAAGGAGGAAAATATAATTGTTATCTTACTAAATCTCCCTTCCTTTTTATTCTCCCAGAGCATAGGGGAGCAGAGGGAGGAGAGTGGACAAAGGAGGGAGGGCAGCAGAAGAAAATGGGGAGACAGAGGAGGGGAGGAGATAGAAGAGGTGAAGGAGAAGTGAGGAGGGGAGAGGGGAGGAAAATGCAGCCTGTGGAAGAGAGATGTTGCTGCAGCTGGAGCCTGGAGTGTTCCCCTCAGTTCTCTTGGTACTCTGACCTGGAGGATGCAGCCCCACCTGGACCTCACAGAGAACTAGGACAATGGTGGTGAGACTGAGCAGGAATGCACTCCAGGGAAGATGTGGGTGGCTGCTAACACAGGAGAAGATTCTGTAGACAATCTTGATTTCAGATTCTTTCTGGAACATCATCCAATTTTTGTGGTCGACAGGGACCCTGCCTCCCTACACCTACATTCCTCCTCCATGGCAACCGCCTGTCCTTGGTCTCTGTGTGTGTCCAGGACACCCAGGGCCAGACTAATCACAACAAGTCCTGCTCCTCTGGGAGCATCCAAGGAGAGGCCTGAAGGAACCCACAGAGGAATCACATTTACCATCAGAGACTTGGTGCAGAGAGGCAACAGAATGGTGAAAGGCACAGACTCCAGAGTCAGATGGCTTGGGTTCACAGTCTTTCTGCCTCCTACCAGATGTATGATCTCAGGCAAATTACCTAGCTCCTCTGTTCCTCAGTTTCCTGAGCCCTAACAAGGAAATGATGATAGTACCTGCCTGGGAAGGGTGTGGTGAGGATTAGGTAAGTTAACTCTGCGACTGCTTGTTTCACTAAACCAACATGCCAGAGAGCCTTTCTACTCCATGCTGTGTTTGAAAACTTATTTGTTTCCATTGTTTATTTAATTTGGTTTTTGAGCTGATCTGGATAATCAGGGGAAGCAGTTTCAATACGAGGTATCAGAAGTTTAACAGTTAGATGCTTTTGTAATTCATGTATATAGATGGACTTTATCTAGAACATGGAAGTAATAAAAAAAATCTAGAGCCAATACTCATCTTTTCCTCTTTTTTAGGCAGGTGGGGAAAGTCCTGGCAAAAGCACAGAATGTGGTTGTAACTGGGTAATATGATCGGTCATCGAAGCAGGGTAACTGTTCTTTATTTGTACTGCATCTGTTTTGAAGGTTCCCTGCGTCAGGACAGCATCAGGGCTAGAATTGTGGGAGCACCTGTTGGGAATCCATAGGTGTGGTAGAAGCTAAATGGGCTTCCTCTTTCAAACACTTAGGTGCCTCTTTTTTTTTTCCTGTCATTTTGAGTTCCATAGACATTCAATTTGTGGCTGTTGGCATGCAAAGGAAACATGTTAACTCAGAGGATAAAAAACAACTCCTTTAACACTGGTCTTCATAGAATACCAGCAGAGAAAAAGAAACTTTTAGCAGCCAGGACAATCCTTTTAAATGGTAAATCAGATCATGTCCATCATCAGTCTAAGACACTGTGATGGTTCCCAGCTTTGCTTGGACCCCCAAAAAAGGCCCAGGTTTTTGGAAGGCTATGTGGCCCTGTATGGCCAAGCCTCTGCCTCCCTGCCTCACTCCAACAACAGAGCTCTTCTTGCAGACCCCTGACCACACCAAGCATGTGCTGCCTTAGGCACTGACCGGCATTGTGCTCCCCTTGTCCCCATCTCCCCATGGCCGATTCCCTCACCTCCTGCAAGTCTGCTCAGATCTCATCTTCTCTATAAGAATCCTATTTAGTTCTACAGACTGACCTGCCTTGCCATCCACCCAGCACTCTCTTATCTCCTGGTTCGATTTTTCCTTTTCTCCATAATACGGATCACTTTCTAACCTAGTCTGTGATTTTTTTTCTTTATGATGTTTATTGTTCATTACCTCCTCTTCATGAGAATGTGAGTTCCAGGAAGGCAGAAGCCTTTTCTGTTATATTCTCAGATGAATCTCCAGTGCCTGGCACAGAGAAGGACCCAATAAATCTCTGTTGAATCAATGAGAAACTTGCTAAGGAGCTAGGAGTAGGGTGGCAACCTTAAGTGAGATTTTGGTAGCTTGAGAAATAAATGGGCTCCCTTGGTCTCCCAGTACAAGAATACCTCTTTCTACAACAAGCTTACATTTCTCACTGTCAGATCAGAGAGAGACCCAAGCATTACTTAGACCCAAGCATTACTCCAGTGCCGTTTCCTTGGACTTGGGACAAGGCTAAAGTGTGAAGTCCATAGCCACGGCTCCTGTCATAACTCTCAGGCATAGTTCGGGGCCATGGGCCCTGAGCTGAGATCTCACTCTGCCTGCTCAGGAAGAGGGCATGGAGCTCTGACTTCTCAGCTGTCAGTGAGGGCTACTCACAAGTGAGTGACACGCAGCCACCCCAGCTAAGGAGGAGCACTGCCACCACGGTCCCTGTGGGCCTTCACAGCTGGGGGCCTGAGTGGGGTTCATCCTGTAGCACAGCTGGAGAGTCTCCAGCAGCCCCCAGATCTGAGTAGTGGATCCTGGCTCTGGCCTTTCAGCTCTCCCACGGCTTGTCAGCACCTCTACCACAGGTGGGCGGGGGTGAAACTCAAGTCACCGGCAGCCTGGCTCATCTGGAGCCCCATGAAAGAGATGGCGAAACCCAGGTCTGAGACTGGGGGTAAAGTATTTTTGGATTCCATTCATCCCTCCTATCTCTAACTCCGTTACTGAAAATAAACGATATAGCTACAAAATGAGACTCACAGAAGATGATAAAAGGAATGGTGTATTTCGTAAAAAAAAAAGAGGGAAGACCTTTTTTTTTTTTGGTCTTGCCCACCAACTCTTGCTGTGTCCATGATCTCATCTCCAAAGACCTGAGGTTTTTTTTTTAATAGCTCATAATTACTTAATCATTCCAGCTCTGCAGTTTGTTCTCAGCTTTAAGTGCCAGATAAACACTTATTAAGGAGATAGCCCACATTCATGGAAAAACCAAAATAATTTGAAAATTTCTTAATAGTGATTCCTGTCTTACAATTAAGGTGACATGAAAGAAGGAAAAAGGTGTTGAAATACTAGAAAATAGTTTCCTTCCCAAGGTCTATTTAGAAACTCAAACTAAAATTACAATTTCAATCTGAGTTTGAGTTCTCTACTCTAAATCAAGGTGCTCCCCAGGCCGGTAGTTCTCAGCCAGCGTGCCTTGCACCCTGACCAATGTTGCCGGCCACAGATGATCAGTGTGGCAACTGCATTTCTGTGGTGGCCAAGATGCATGGGGCTGTTGGGCCACGTGTTTCAGAAACAACAGGAACAGCTGAGCTGAGAGCATCCTCAGGGCAGGGATGGGCCAGGAAGGAGAGACAGCAAGAAGCAAGATAAAATCCAATGTGAGAAGAGTTAAGAAGCCCAGTGGGATGTTACTTGGCACCAGAAACATGGCATGACTATAGCCATGTGGAGAACTGTCCAGGCAGGAATGGCTAAGCCAACTGGTCCATGACTGTGAAGACAATCTGATCCTCTAAAGTATGCCCGGCAAAAGCCTACAATCAGAGCAAGATAGTAAGATTGAGGGCCACCTCTCTAACCTTTTATTAAAAGGAAATGTGAACATGAGGAGAAAATGATGAGAAGTAAGAGATCTTAAACCCTGCAACATATCTTAAAGCTGGAATATGATTCTGAGATTTCAACTAAAAAGTCACTGGATATAAAAGAAAAATACAAAGATAAAAAACAGCCACAAAAAGACACTAGATATAAAAATCAGGAAACATTAAAAAAAAGACAAGGAAGGAAGAGGCTTTTGAATTAAAAATAAAGAACAAACAAACCAAAAAAACCCCTATTTCAATCCCCATGGTACATACCTTGTAGTGAGGCCTGTAAGTCTTTCATGTTTTGGTCTAAAAGCTGTGAAGGAAGGAATCCTGAGCCTGTCTGGGGCCTGGGGTCTGGCTCTCCTGGGGCCACAGCAGGCGCTGGCTCCTTCAGCCGGTCGTCTCCAAACACAGCAGCCCACTCCTTGCTGAACTCCCCCTCGTCCAAGGAGGAAGCATTGAAGATCTCACTCAACAGCAGCAGGTCATCCTTGTCAGCACCTTCAGGTTCTGGGGTCCCTGCCGTTGGGCCCAGGCAAGCTGAACAAAGTAACAGAGCACAAAACGCATCACTACCCAGGGCCCAAGCCCTTGGGAGTAAATGCAGTGGGGGCTGGGATGGAACAGACTGGGTGATGGCTAGATTTAAGAAAAAGTTTATCAAACTATAAATTATTCTCATTATAGCCTCTCTTAAGAAATTTCAGAATTCAGGGCACCTGGGTGGCTCAGCTGTTAAGCATCTGCCTTCAGCTCAGGTCATGGTCCCAGGGCCCTGGGATTGAGCCTTGCTTCGGGCTCCCTGCTCCGCAGGAGGACCACTTCTCCCTCTCCCACTCCCCCTGCTTGTGTTCCCTCTCTCACTGTGTCTCTCTCTGTCAAATAAATAAATAAAATCTTTAAAAAAATTTTTTTTCAGAATTCAATTTCTAGTCCCATGGTCCCTCATCCCCGTTCCTCCAAAGTAAGTTCCATTTCCGAGCATCATTAGAATTGTACTGAAACAGTTTCCACCAAAACTCAAGGGTTTTGTTTTTTTTTCTTAATGTAAAAGCAAATTTACCACCAAAACATTTCTCAGACAGGAAGCAAAGCCAGGATTGAAGGCAGGTGAGAGATATTAGTTCCTTGTTTGCATAGCTTCCTGAATCTTCTCACACAACAAGCCCTAAATCCGCAGCCAACACACCATGTGGGAGCCTGCCCTGTCATCCAGGATGGGGAGAGGACCCTTGCCACACGCTGGGCAGGAGCGGAGGATGTCAGGACATCCAACGATGACCAAGGGAGGCCTCTGGCTTCCCTTTGCTGCAACCGACTGCAACCCAACCACAAGTCCTTGCCAAAGCACAGGAAAAGTGGGTCTGGTTTGCTTGTAGGCAGCAGTGAAAGAATGACTGGAAAACAGGGCAAATACCGGATCCACCCGGAGAAGGCCAGAGATGCAGCCCAGGAGCGCTGGAATGAGCTCGCGACCAGAGGGGAAGCCCTGAGACCATTGTGACTACAGCAAGACCCTTAGCTCTTCCGGGCCTCTGCTTTTTCACCTGTAAAATTATAATATGAATAATGCCCACCTCAAAGCACTGTCAAGAAGACCAAAAGAAATGGACCTTTAAATCTCATTGCTTATCCAAAAGGGAGACTTTAAAGAAGAGATCCATTCTTGCAATATGAACACTGACAAAATACTGAACAGGGAATATAAGTAGTATGGGGGCATTGCTAACCAGGAAAACTACAACAAGACTTTTCATTGGGTTTTCCACCTATTTTGAACATCAAGAATGGATGGTCTTATTAACTGTGGCTTTGCTATGGTATCTAATAGCCACATGGAAACTGCAAACATTGTTGTAAGTCACGAAGAAAAGGAATAATCATGATTTTCTCTGAGCTATACTGCAATTCTGATACTGTCATATTAAGTGAGATTAACAGGTTTTCCTCAAATATGAGATAATTAGTAAGTGACGGCTTTTTTTTTTTTTTAAGATTTTATTTATTTATTCATGAGAGACAGAGAGAGAGAGGCAGAGGGAGAAGCAGGCTCCCAAGGAGCAGGGAGCCCGATGCGGGACTCGATCCCAGGACGCTGGGATCATGACCTGAGCCGAAGGCAGACGCCCAACCATCTGAGCCACCCAGGCGCCCCTTTTTTTTTTTTTTTAAGGAGTACAGCTTATCTGTCAGCTTTACTGGATCTATTTTCAACCACACTTAATACAACGGGCTTCTGATTGAGAGGATTTTTGATGTGCTAGGCAGACTAGCTATACACCCAGGAAGGGAGGAGTCCAGACACTCTCCTATCACTCTGGTTTAAAAATAGCGGCAAAATATCGCTTCAATTGGACAAATGTCTAAGAACTCTCATTGTTTGTGTTATCGCAGAAATTTGCACTGAGACACAGCTTGTAAGGTGGGGTGCTGAGGAGATGAGGGAAATGGCATTTTAGAAAACAGGCTTTTGAGAGAGTTCTGCAGTAGGAGGGTAGGCAGCAAGGACCCACCTTGGCCTGTGTGTGGTGAAGGGGCAGGTGGGTAGGGTAGGACAGCCCATATATGTGAATGCAGGCAGAAAGCGTGGCTGTGTCCCTCAACGTATTAACTTCACAAATCTCTGTACTTTCTACTTTCAGTTGGGACTGGAATACCCAAACCTTCTCTCGTGGTTTACTATCTGGCCTGACTGAAATCAGATGATTGCTGAATCAAACCTGTTTTATTGGAACCAATTCAAATCAAAGAGTAGACTCTAGAGGAAGGGATGACTTTAGATGAGCACTGAAAATTATGTGCATTCTTCTTGAAGTCACTTTACAGCCCAGTGCTAAGTCAAACCCTGGGAGAGGCTTCCCTGCTTTCATCAAGATGTCAATCCAGGGAAGATCATGACTAACATCAGCAAGAATAAATAATAAACTTTAAGCTTTCCCCAAATAATCAGAAACTGCAAAAGCTCTATCTTTGTTTTTACTGTTTAGGTTGTGTGCAAGGGTATTGAGTGGATTTCTGTGGGTTTTGTTAACTTAGCATCCCTTCCCTCCTCCTCTTCAGTTTTCCCTTTTGGGAAACACCTTCTCCACAGGATCCTGTGGAGACACCACGTCCGGTGCCTCTAGGTTGGCCAGTGTCCTTCATTTCTCAGGCCATGGTGACTGGCTCAGCGATGGGCACATGCCAGAGGCTTCCCTGAGTTTGCTATATGGAAGGTGGAAGGAGAAGGGTCTCTCATTCAGATTCCAAGTTCTAAAGATGCAGTTTTGAGGCTCTCAGGGATGATGGAGAAGAACACAGGGCAAACCAGCATCAAGAGTCGGAAAGAAAATCCTGACAACACTGTCTAAGCCCTGGACCCAGCTCTGCTTGAAGCCAATCCATCACTGTATGTCCCCAGTTTAATGGGCCAATTCCCAATACAGTCTTTTCTTTTTAATTTGAAAGCTAAACTACTTAGAGAAGGGTTTCTGTTACTTCCAACCAAAAGATTCCTGACTAATGTTGTATCCTGTCAAACTCAACTTTACTGACAGAAATGAGAAAAGGACCCTCAGTGAGGATGATATTGTCTAGAGCTAGTTCTGAATAGAGATTTAGTTGGAGGTCGACACTGAAATTGGCCTATTAGTGTCCTGGTTATTTAACTGTTCAAGTGGGCTGCACAGCGGACATTTTCTCTAAGAGAACTTATTACTTCCCTAAAAGCAATGAAACTGGTACTGACTTGAACCAGAAAACAGGGAAGCCCAATTATTGCCCTGATAATTAAGATGCTTGAAATTACCATACATAACTTGTAAGAAAAACTTAATTACAAGTAAAAAAGGACAGGTTCAGGTCTGTAACCAGACATGTCAAGACTTGAAAAATAACACTAGTCAGTTGGCTCTTAAGAATCAAGCTATCATTTTCTTTGGGAATAATTCAACTCAACTGTAAGAAAACGGGACACACACACAGAGAATAAGCTCTTTGAGAGAAGCCCGGGTAAGGGCTGTACGGGTGGTGTCAGGGCTTCTACCAGGGAGCTGAGCAAGTATTGCTCCTGGGTTATGGCGACCCATCCTTCAAGGGTGAACCAGCGTTCCTAGCTCTCAGGTGCCAAACCCACAGATACCACTCCAAGCTCCCTTCATGCTCTTGCAGGATCCTGAGTCTCCATGTTCACTATCACATCAGATAACACAACTCCAGACATTACTACAGAAATAGAGGCCAACAGGGACACCTGGGTGGCTCAGTCGGTTAAGCGACTGCCTTTGGCTCAGATCATGATCCCAGGGTCCTGGGATGGAGTCCCACATCGGGCTCCCTGCTCAGCGGGGAGCCTGCTTCTCCCTCTCCCTCTGCCTGCCACTCTCCCTACTTGTGCTCTCTCTGACAAATAAATAAATAAAGTCTTAAAAAAAAAACAAAACTGTATGCTCTCCCCTCCTGCTGGAGCCTGCTCTGCCCCCACCGGGATTCAGCTCCAGCATTTCTAGTCTTTCTCTCTCCAAAGCTTCCTCTCCTGACCTCAGAAGACGTGTGCACATACCAACAATGGCCAATATTGTGATTCCTGTCTCCCCCAGCACCCCATCCCACCCCCCAATGTTGCCTCTCTGGTTTCTCCTTCTACAGCCACACACTCTGCTTTGTCAACCACTCTTGTTTTGGTGGCCTGCCATCAAGTTCCTACCCCCACTCTACACTGAAGTGGCCCTCCGGAAGGTTACTGGTGAGATCCTCATGGCCGATTCCAATCCCCTTTTCTCTGGCCTCAACCCCTGTGGCACTTTGCCCCGTTGCCTACCCTGGAAATGCTGTCATCTCCTGGGGTCTCCATGAAGTGGCTCTTTTGAATATCCTTCCATCTCTTTGACAATACTCTCCCTGCTGCCTCTTCCTACTCTAGTTACCCTAAAGTCTCCTCCTAAGTTATATCTCCCTTTCCTGCATTATCTACAGAACATTTTATCTAGTCTCATGGTTCCAATCTCACCTGGGAAGATTCTCAAATCTCCATCTCCAATTCCACGTTTTCTTGACCTCTGATGACAAACTCCTGACTCGAGGGTCCTTTGGGGTCTGCCCACTGGCAAGCCTGCTGGCACTCCATAAAAGACACCCTCTCGCTGTATACCTTTGCTCAGTTCAGCTGTGAGATTATTACTTCCTTACTTGAAAACCTTCAATGGCTCCCTCTGTAACACTCCTTATAGTGGTATTCAGGACCTCTGTGGTCCAGCTCTAATGCAGCCCTTCTAGCAACTCCTTCAGGGAAGCCTACAGTTCAGCAAAACTCTGCCACATCTGCCATTTTTCAATTGTGCTTTCCTGCCTTCCTGTCTGGGAACCTGCTCTTCTAGTCCCAGTGAGATACCTAGAGAGAAGAATCATACTTAACTGAAAGGGATCTTAGAGAATATCCCCTGTAACTCACTTTGCCGATAAGGAAAAAGACACACAGGTTAGATGACCTGCCCAAAGTCATATAACTTATTAGTTACAGATTATCTGGCTGGGGACCCCTGGCTATAGGTGAAGATGTTTTC